CAGAGAAAACTTATTCGCGTGAGCTCTAATGTATCTTAGCTTAGTATTTTTTTTTTTTAACTAAGGTCAAATTCCATCAGTTTGTCAAAATATATGTTTTTCAGAGAATAATTTTGAAGCCTGTCACAGCACAAACAACTATGTGAATCGACGCCGGTGATTGGATTGTACGATGACCCTTCAATTAGCGTCAAATATGCTTTGTTACAACATCATTGATTGGCTGAGAGTCACCTGATCGGAGCACGAACTGGGTCACAGAACCATATTTGTCCGTATTATCAACAGGACTTTGCAAAATAACCACACCCACATTTTCAATCATTTTTAGCGCGGAAGTTGCCAACAAATGTAAAAAAAAATCGTGAATTTCATGGATTCGAATAAAATAAAGCAAGCGATTGATAAGGATGATTATTAACATTTTCCCCGATGCTCTTCGAATTTTTATTTTTTTTATTTCAAGGTAAGAAATGGCTAGCTGAAGTTGCATCGTCTTCAATGCGGTTGTTTCACCGCGAACAACTCTAGCTCTGTTTTGGGCATGGTTTAATTTTGCGATGTAAAATAAATGATTTCCGTGTGAATCCTTAGTTTCGAATTGTTCATCGACTGGCCACCAAATAGTTATGGCTATAACTAAATTTGACACGTTTTTCTTTTAAGCCCAATAAATTATTCATACATGTCAAGCTCTGTTCGATTTTTTCAGGGCATATGGCCGTTTTTAGTCGAAAATATTTTTTGTGGGAACACTTTTACGGTACGTATACGGTATAGACCGAACTCATTCAATGATCGTGACTTAATTTTAAAAATTGAATGTCAAATTTTACCAGACGTGGACCGATGTTGATTCGGTATCGTTATTTTTGGAATTAATCACTAACATTTCCTCATTTCTCTGCTCTGTCAAAACATGGAGGTAGAAAACTACCATGGTCAAAAGGAGTTACCTACCTGTTTGGGCGAGCGGTCAATGTTTTCATTGAGCGAGCGAGCGAAAAAAAAACGTGATTAAAATGCGGTCGGTTTCCGGTCGGACAAGACCGCGTGGTCGGAAATTAAGCGATAAGCGGTCGATGTAAAAGCGGAAGGTTGGGCGAAATGAGTACTATGACCATGTTTCTCCGACGAAGTCTCGACTGACAATAATGCTGACAATGGACGTTAGATAAACACGCATTGTTTGCAACTGGAAGCTTATCACCCGTTATATCAGAATCGTCAACAACAGAGTATACAGATAAGA